TGAATGGAAAAGGTTTGGGGGGAATCCAGTATTAAGGTCTATTCTAGGCAGCATATTTATTGTATGATGAAGCTTACTGAAACGTGTGCACTACTGCAGGATAATAACTATCAAGCATAATATGGCCAGGTAAATTGATGAGCACATTTGCTAAATGCCATTAGTGCAGGTGCCAGATCAACACAAATACTCATACAAGAGGCTTAAACATGTTCTGTGCAATTCATTAAAATATTTTTTTCAATTTGGGACTCTCCCCCTCCATGGCTCTCTGTCTATTGAGGTTCATGAAAACCGAGTCTGCACATACCTGGCTGGCTATACACATCTGCATTAGTTACAGGGTACACCATCAATTTCTGTTCCTTGTGTTTTTTTAGGATCACTGAAATCTCTACTACCATTTACATCAATGCAGCACATGGCACAGTGCTACTCTGAAGTGGTTGCTGCACATTTTTGGCCCAAAGACCTAAACACAACAAAAAATGCACGTACATGCAATTTCGCCCACATTTTGTGTTGGTTGTTAGGAGCCGGCATCCGGCTCCCAGATCTGAAGGTCCTGGTAAAGAATATGGCAGGACCCCATATTTTTGGGGGTTTTTTTTGGATGATGATTCCTTTGTTTACATTCTGCTGAATGGCAAATAAAGAATAGAATGTAATTTTGTGAGAGCACTGACCAATGAGGAGATCTTCTTCCTTCTTGAACACCTTGCTGGAAGAATGGATCAGATGTACTTCTCTTTGGTCAACAAACTCATGTGCTTGCCACTGTGGGCACTATTATGCATTCTCACTTCAGGTCTGTGTATTGCAGGGTACAGACCACTACAGGAACAGCATGGGGCACCAGAGCCACTATGTGCAGCAGAGTCTGGGGGAGTGGCCTGTATATTTAGAGCTACTTCGCCTTTTAATTTTTTGTGAAAAGGTGAACTTACCCTTGAAAAAGTGTTAGTTGGAATTCAGCTTTAATTTGTTAGTCAGGTCCATCTAAATCTGGCCATAGATGGATCGAAATCTGGCTAGTTTAGTAGGGACCAGACAAACTTCAGTCCATCTATAGCGGTTCCTGAACAGCATCTTTTGAACAGAAAACTTGTCAATCAATTGGCAGCAGCATTGATCAGTGTACTTTTGACAGTGGAGGAGTCAAGCTTTCAGAATGCAATGGCACAACAGGAAGGATTTCTTTGATCAGCCCACAGGCAAAAAAAAAAAAAAAAAAAAAGGATTCAAGCAAGAGTAGCTTTAATCTGCTAGTCTTAAACTGGCCATACATGGATCAATCTTTTTGTTCAACCAGTGGGTTGAAAGAAAAACTGACTTATTCGCTTACTCACACATTCAATGTGGATGAGGGAATCCTCCCTGTTGTGTCGTTGTATTCTGACAGTAGGAGACTCCCTCGCCATTAGAATACACAGATCAGTGCTGCAGCCTATTGCCTACTGCACTGATTGAGTGGAAATATACCAACAAGGCAGTTGAACAGAAGTCAATCTGTAGATTAACTTCTGTGTGACAACACATGGATTGAAATCTGGCCAGACCCTGCTGAACTGGCCAAAATTCAATTTATGTACAACCACCATCCTGAGTGGAGAAATTCTAAGACAGGAAGTGTGTTTCTAGCCAGATAACCAGGTGAAAAAGCTTAAAAATACAAAACTAATGCATCCATCACATTGGTAAGCGGCATTACATTTTTGGGCTTTGGATTTCCTTTCCTGTTTTGGCTAAGGGACAGGAAGTGAAGGAAAATTGCCATGATCACAAAAAAAACCCGGGTTGGGCTAGAACCTTCCCTTTTAAGTTGGCCATACACAGCGATGGACAAATCTTCCCCAATGGCTATCAGCAGCTGATTGGATGCAGGTGCTTTTCAATGGACAGCTTTCCACCCAGCTCCTTGATTCTTTTTCAAATGAAGGGCGTCAGGTGGAGCGGTGCTCACAGAATCAGCAGCTTCATCAGGAAACAATTGCAGTGTATGGCCAGCTTTAGTTTCTCTTTTAGGCCTCATGCACACAAAATGTTTTGCTCTCTCTCCTAGATGCCTTTCCTCCTGGCAGAATGGCAGAAAAAAATGCTCGACACTTGTAAACGTGTAAAATGCATTCAGGCGCATGGGCGTTAAATAATTTCACTGGCCAGAGTAAGTTATTCTGGTCATTGATATGAGTTAACACTCAAGAGCTAAACGCTCCTAGTGTTAATGGGTTTACTCACATTTGGGTGTGTCAAGCGTTTTCTTCCTGCCAAAACGCCACTGCTCCTAGACACACTGGTATTGGCGTTTTTTTTTCTGCCTCTAAATGCCTATGTGTGCATGGATGCATAGTCTAACATGCAGGGGCATTTAGAGGCAGGAAAAAAATAATTACACATGCCAGACGCCCCTAACAGCTCATTTACACTTGCTTTCATTTTAAAAGACATTAACACTTTCCCGCCTGGCCTATAGTAGGTTGATGGCCGGGCGGGACACTCACCATTGTGACTGGGCGTCATATGACGTCCTGTCAAAAAGAGCCGTGATCTGTCACCGGCTGTGTCAACGGGACATGGCTGATGACATATCACTACACCGGCCCGTTGCCAGTGTCATGTGACCCATCACAGCAGATCATATGTCAATTATATACAATGGATGGCTTCCTGTCATGCCATTCATTGTATACAATTATGTTGTTAGCTGTGACAGGTCAAGGCAGTCACATGATACAGACAGGGCCAATCACAGCCCATCTGTATCATGTGATCAGCTTTGCCCAATCACAACAAAAGACTGAATGAATCAGTTTAATTCAGTAACAATGATTGCAAATATCAATGAAATACATTGGTATTAGCAATCATAATGTGTTAATAAAAAAAAAAATCCTGATCACTTGCCCAGAGTAGTTCAATGTTACTATGGTAACATTGTATTGCTTTGGTCACAGTGTGCTGAAAAGTAAAATAGTAAAAAAAAAAAAAAAAAAAAAAAAAAAAATAGAAAATTGAAAAAAAAATACAAATTCAATTATTATTATTTTTTCACCAAAGAAATGTAGCAGAATACATTTTGACATAAATTTATGAAGAAATGTTATTTATTTGCAAAATTTTATAACCGAAACGAAGACAAATGCGTTTTGTTTTCAAAAGTTTCAGGTGTTTTTTGTTTTATTTAGCAAAATCTAAAAAACTCAGTGGTGATTAAATACCACCAAAAGAAAGCTCTATTTGTGTGAAAAAAATGATAAACATTTTTTGGGTACAGTGTTGCATGACTGCGAAATTGTCAAAGTGCGACAGCGCTGAAAGCTGAAAATTGGCCTGGGTAGAAAGGGGGTATAAGTGTCCGGTATTGAAGTGGTTAAAGCTCTGACTGCCCTATAGCAGAAATAGTGCTACAGGGTGGCAGGGTGCGCAAAATCACATATATATATATATATATATATATATATATATATACATACATGATTTTGCATTTCTGGGTAGGGGGCATGCGTGGGTACTCTGGTTTCCTCCCACACTCCCAAAAGACGAACTGGATCCTGTTTAAAGCGGAGCTCCACCCAAAAGGGGAAGTTCCACTTTAAAGGACTGCTCCCCCCCCGCTCCCCATTAAGGATTGGCACCTTTGGGGGGGCGGGTACCCAAATTTGACAGGTACCCCGCTCCCACTTCCGGTCAAAACAGAAGGTGTCCTCCCTCTGTGTAGTCTTTTGGGACACGTGACAGGTCACAGAAGACAACAGGACCATTCATGAAGTGCAGCGCTGCTCACACATGCGCAGTGGGTACCCGGCAGTGAAACCGCAAGCTGTCACAGCCGGGTGCCCACACTGAAGATGCCGACCTCCTGGAATACAGGAGACCGTGGGACAGGTAAGTGGCTGTTTTTTTTAAAAGTGAGCAGCTACAGTTTTTGACAGGGTGAGTGGAACTCCGCTTTAAATTGTCCCTAGTATGTGTATGTATGAATGTAAATTAGTGACCTTACATTGTACGCCCCTTGAGGGTTAGGGACTGATGTGAACGTACAATATATATGTAAAGCACTGCGTAAATTGACGGCGCTATATAAGTACCTGAAATAAATAAACTATAATGCACAAGACAAAGCATGTCTCTTCTGCATTACAATTCCTGCCTGTTCACTTTTTTTTTACCTCAAGTTCCATTTTATTTAGTGAGAGGCACAAAAAAAAAGTGATTCAGATTCCACATTGTGAAGCGTAAAGGAGCCCTAAGAGCAGCATTAAACCCGCCCGGTGTGCATGAGGCCTTAGATTGTAAGCTCTTGTGAGCAGGCCGCTGTCATCCTGCATGCTCTCCCTGTGTAGAGTAGTCCCCCTGCCCTGACATACGATGATAGGTGTGCAGCGCTGAGGTGCTGGGTGTGCTCCCTCCCAGCCTGGCCTCCAGCAGCCCTGATGTGAGGACATTTAAACGTCCGTCCAATCGGCATCGTCTAGGTCATCGCACAGTGAGCGGGCCGCTGACTATTGGTGTGTGAATTCCGGAGAGGTGTCCATAGCGCTGGAATAAATAGAGGCGGAGAAGTTAGTGAACACGTTGTGTGCCCGCTGTACAGAGCCGGCCGAGGGAACACTCCCGCAGTGTGAAGGGCTCAGCCATACAGCCGCACTTCCTCCTCCACAGCCCCATATTACAGGGGGGGGGGGAGGGAGCAGCGAGCCTCGGGGCCAAAGCGCTAAATTTAAAAGAAATGACTGGGCCCCGGAGAGGAAGGAGAAGTGCTCGCCGGTGATCCGGGGAAGTCACCGGAGCCGCCACCAGCACGGGCCCGGCGCTCGCTCTCTTCCTCACAAATGGCTGCCGGCTTTGGCGGGAGCGCGGAGAGCAGGCGGCGAGCACTGGGGCCCCTCACACGCTCCCCCGCGGGCTCCGGGCACGCCGCTTTCATAGCCCCCAGCGCCGGGGTTCCCTCCTCCTCCCTCCATTGCTCCTTTGTTGTCGGTTTTTTTTCCTCCTCTTACCATTTCCGTACTTTTTCGATGGCGGCCATCACCCGTTTGATGTCATCTTTAGCCCGGCTTCGTGTCTCGGCTCGGACCGAGCGCCCCGACATGGCTGCAGTGGTTGATGAGGGAGGGGGAGAGGAGGGAGATTGTCCGCCGGTTACTTGTCTCTCTCTTTCTTCTCTGCTCTCCGCACACATACGGCCGAGCACAGCCAACGCCGCGCATGCGTACTGCGCCGCCTGCTGCTGCTACTGCTCGAGCGCTGCGGGGGGGGGATGGGGGAAAGCCGAGCGCTGCACACCCACCATTCATTACAGCTCTGAGGAGACGCTCCATAGTGTGACCTGTGGGATAGGCTGTCGTCCTGCTCACTGAAAAACAGACACTTTTAAGTAATAAATGTTCTCTACGTGATGCTGACTAAAGGACTGAGCTCCAACAATGGTTGCCACAGCTCAAAGGGACTTGGTGATGTCATTGTATCATGAGGGAGCCATGGCAGACTAGGCAGGAGCTGGGGGCCCCGCTGTGTGTCAGGGGGGCTGTGAGGGGCCACATGATTCTAAAGGCAAGGGAACGAGGTCACACGGTCTATATGAACATTTAGGCCTAATGCACACGGGACGTTGTGTTATCCTCCACTTTCCTCCCAGCACCGAAAAGCCGCGTGTAAACGCACAGAACACTTTTAGTCATGCACACGGGACATTTTTACAGCAGATGTTTTTGCCTTTTGGTGTTTTATTTTACAGCCAGTAACCCCCCCCCCCCCCCCCCCAGCATGTTATCCTATGTGTCCATACACACATAGACTGTAATCAATATTTTTTGGGCTGGAAAAGAAACTAGCAGGTTTCACGCGGTAAAATGCGTCAAATCGGCATTTTTGGACTTTTTGTAACCACTTGACCTGAGGATTCACCCTCCTTCCTGACCAGGCCATTACGGAGCTGCATTGCTTTAACTGACAATTGCGCGGTCATGCAAATCTGCACCCAAATTAAATTTACGTCCTTTTTTTGTTTTTTCCCCCCACAAATTGAGCTTTCTTTCAGTGGTATTTGATCGCCTGTGCGTTTTTTTGTTGTTTTTTTTTTTTGCCCTATAAAAAAAATAGCAACAATTTTGAGAAAAAAAAACAATATTTTTGACTTTTTCTGCAATTAAACATATCCAGTAAAAAATCTAATTTTGTCATAAGTTTACACCAAAACGTATTCTGCTACATGTCTTTGCTAAAAAAAAAAAAAATCCCAATACATGTAAATTGGTTTGTGTGAAAGCTATAGCGTTTACAATTGGCAGTATATACACTGGGAATTTTTTTTAATTTTTACTAATGCGGTGATCAGCGACTTGCAGTGGGACTGCGGCAGACATTCTGACACTGGGGGGAACTGACTTGGTGTCACTGACATCTCCAGCGACACCAATACAGTGATCAGTGCTAATAAAAAGCACCAACACTGTACTAATGGTACTGGACAGGAAGGGGTTAACTGTGTGCTGGGAGTGTTTTTTACTAGGGGGCTGTGTCTGTGTGCTTCACTGTTCTCACACTGCTTAGGATGGCTGTGCTGTGCACAGCCATTCAAAGCCATGTGCCTGAGCTGATAGGGAGGAGAGCTTAGTAAACAAAACAGTTCTCCTCCCCGTTGGAGATCCTTGGAAATCACCAGGCACCGGCGAGTAATCACCAGCCGGGACCTATTGATTGACAGCCGCGGCCACTAATGGCGGCGCAGGTAGGGTGCGTGCTTGTGCGCGCCCCCCTACCCAGAAATGCAAAATCATGAATATATACGTGCTTTGTGCACCCATGCTGCCCTGCAGCAGTATTTCTGCTATAGGGCAGTCGGGAAGTAGTTAAGCAAAAAAAAATGTAGAAAAACTCAACTAAACACTAATGTAAAAACACTGAAAAATTTGCGTTTTTAACCACTTCCAGACCGGACACTTTTACCCCCTTCCTGACCAGGGCAATTTTCAGCTTTTAGCGCTATCACACTTTGAATGACAATTGCGCGGTCATGCAACACTGTACCCAAATGAATTTTTTATCATTTTTTTTAGATAGATAAAGCTTTATTTTGGTGGTATTTATTCACCACTGGGATTTGTATTTTTTTTGCTATGTAAATGAAATGTCCAAAAATTTTTTTAAAAAAGTGTTTTTTTTATAAAAATTTTGCAAATAAATAATATTTCATCATAAATCTTAGCCAAAATTTATTCCGTTATCTTTTTAGTAAAAAAAAAAAAATCCAAATTAGTTTATAAGCAAAAATTATAATTTTTAAACATTTTTTTTTTTTTACATTTTTATTTTATTTTTTTATATTATTATTTTTTTTTTTTTTTACATACTGTCACCCTAGCAGTACAGTGTCACCATGGTGACACTGTACTACTTGTGAGGGGTGATAAAGATTTTTTTTTTTTTTTTTTTTTTTTTTTACACTGATTGCTTTTACACCCATATAGGATGTAAAAACAATCATTTCTCTTTCTCTCTGTGTGCATTCCTACACTCATTGAGAAATACAGAGTGAGCTGTGATTGGTCACAGCTTGTCACATGGTACAAGGCTTTTGTGAATAGCCTTGTACCATGTGACCTCTGTGATCATTCACAGATTTCACACATAGTAAGCAATGATGTCACAAGTGACATCTTGCTTACTACTTTGCATGTGATCACTGATTGGCCAATCAGTGATCACATGATCGGGACCTCGTACAGAGGTCCCGTCCGACGATCGGTGTTTCACTGTGTCCGGAGGTGCACTGTGTCCCAGGGAGCGTGCACAAGCAGGGTGCGGGGAGGCCGTTTATAGACGGCCACCCGACCCTGCAGTGCCACCGTCCGGCCGTTTATATACAACGGCCGGTCGGGAAGTGGTTAACGTGACTTTATACAGCTAACACTACCATCGTTATTAAAACGCACAGTGTGCATGGTGTGTCATGCTCTCAGGCATTCATTTAATTGGCCAGAATTATAATTTGCTCTGGCCATTGAAATGAAATAACCAGGACTTATTTCAGTGGGGGGAACGCAGTTCCTGCACCTCCAGCACTGAAAGTATGTATAAAGGAGTGTTGGAGAGTCCATTGATGCTGGTTGCTGGGGGGATCTCTTGATAAGGGAAGGGTCAATTGTTCCTAAGAGGAATCTACTGTTTAGGGAGGGGTCTCCTATTGTTGACAAGGGGGGGTGCTTTTGTTGTTGGCAGTAGAGGACCTTTTTACTGCTTTTTATGTTTTCTTTAGTAAATTCCATACAAATTAGTTACAGTGTTAAACCCACAGCAGGAAAATCAGTCTATGCAGTAACTCATGCTTGTTATACTCACTGTGGAACCTATGGGGTTAATCTCTGCATTTTGTAAAGAGACTGATCCTGACTTTTCTTATCCTCCCCTTCTTCTACTGTCCCCAATCAATCTTCTGATAGAACAGAGCCTTGGGGGCAAGCTGCACATATTCAGTTCGGTGTGTACGGCTAGAGTTTTTTTTTTTTTTTTTGGGGAGAGTGCATGTGATCGGCACAGGGCCAATCAGCACTGTCCAGACAGAAGGTCAGGGGTCCTGCAGTCTCATAGGACAATCGGGGGAGAGGAAGAAATTCTCTGTCAGAAGCACCCAGGCAGTCCGCAGCATAGCAGTACATTCAAATGAATGGGCTGTAGTGCCAGAGCAAATGCAGGCCACAGAGCTTGCAATAGTGTGACCTGAGCTTAAACTGGCCGTAGTATGTGAATGTGAGTTAGGGACCTTAGATTGTAAGCCTCTTGATGTGAATGAAAAATGTGTGTGTGTGTATATATATATATATGTGTGTGTGTATATATATATATATATGTGTGTGTGTGTATATATGTGTGTGTATGTGTGTGTGTGTGTATATATATATATATGTGTGTGTGTGTGTTATATATATGTGTTGTGTATATGTGTGTGTGTGTATATATATATATATGTGTGTGTGTGTGTGTATATATATGTGTGTGTGTGTATGTATGTGTGTATATATATATATATATATATATATATAGTGTACTATATATAGTGTGTGTATGTGTATATATATATATATATATATATATATATAATATAGCTCTGCAAAAATTGACAGCGCTATATATAGTAAGTACCTGTAGTAAATAACAAAATGTAAGCCTTGGTGTCCATGCACACTTAGGCATTTACAAGCTGAAAAAAAAAACATCAAAGGTACGTTCAGGAGAGAAGAGCAGAAAAAACATTGAACATGCCTAAGACATGTCTAGCATTTGCGCATGATTGCATTCAAATGGCTAAAATAAATGATTATTCTGGCCAATGGAATCCATTAATGATTGACGCACTTAAACATGCACAATCACATGAGCAATATGCGGTTTTTACCACATTTTTTTAAGCAGCCTTTCTCCTGCCAGGAGTTCTGGCATTGCTCACATTTTCCTGAAGTTGGCTGTAAATGTAAATGGGTGCTGCAGCGACCTGCTGGCTGGAAACTGACAAGTTTCAAAGTAAGTAATATGTCACCTGCACACCAGGGATCTCCTGAATGGGTCCAAAGCTTTATTCAGCAATCATATCATGATCACATTAGCGATGTTTTGGAGCCATGCAGGACCCCTTCATAAGGCATGTAACCCCTTCATCTGGTTGATGTGAATGTGTTGAGTTTTTACCAAGGCCACGTTATATATCCTGTGTGTTTTTGCTACAGTGTGTCACTGACTGTTCCTGATTTAGTGAGCGATTGTGGCTGTTTCTAGACTCTTTGAATGAAGACTGCTTGGAGATGCTGTGATTCGCCAACTTGAGACGGGCAAGAGCTTTCTCTGGTGATTGCAGGACTGTCAGGAACCAAGGACTACATCTGTGCTAAAAGGCCTCTGACCATTTGTTCTGTTTGCTTGATGGGCTTTTGGAATTAGAAATACCCTCAGAAGGGAGGGGTAAGTTTTCCATCATGGTATGGTCCCTAACGTAAGCAGGACTCAGCTAGCATCATACCAGCTAGTGGAATATAAGTGGTAGACTTGTTGGCAGGCCATCTTTATGTCGTGTGATATTGCATTGTAAACTGTTTGACA